GGCTGCGGCTCTGGACCCGGCTGGGAGGGTGAAAAATAGGATTAAATGACGGCCCAGAAAGGGGCCAGCCCTGTTACCCAATCCCTTAGGTGTGGGCGTAGGAGTCCAGCCCCATCATAATTGCCGTTGGAAAACGGCTGCTGATAGCGTCCCGGCGCGCCCGATTGGGTTCCCCTCATTACAGCAGCGCTGCATAAGTGACCCTTTGTGGCAGGCCCATTAAAAAGCTACCTCTTTCGGGGAACTGTTAAGCTTCGCCGCACTCTGCGCAGGGCTGGAGCCCGGGAGGTGGCGGCAGCGGCGGGCGAGCACAGGGGGGTATTGTGGGAGAGGGGGGTCTTGGAGTCCCAGGGAACCCACCTCTCATGAATGGGGCTTTTCTTGAGCGCACAGAGCCTGATTCACCGGTCTTCGCGAGGAACCAGTTTAAATAAATACGGGCAGCGTTTCAGCCCCATCTGGAAGCCATCGCTGCCAATCTCCCAACGCAAACAAGGCGCACAAAGGGGGATTGAGGTCTCTCCCTCGGGCCGAGGGACACTGTCCGAGGCCAGGGCTGTGGACTGCAGATGTGGGTCGGAAACACCGCTGCTGGTGCGCTTCGCAAACTCGTGGAAAGCTGGAGGAGGGGCGAGCCGTGACCCGGCCGGCCGCTACCCATCCCGACTCCCGGGGACAGAGTAGAACTGCCCCAGCCACAGGGTTCTCAAGGCTGCAAATCTTTTAAGAAGCCGGTTGCCACGTCTTTCTCAGGCGGACGGGTGGGTGAAAACCTGCTGACCTTTTCGCTTAGCAGCCCAGCGCTTAACTACTGCGCCACCAGGATCCCTTGCCCCGGCTCTGGGTTCTGACATTCCTGTGCCCACGCAGATTGGGCCCTCTTTGGGCCCGCGGGGGTGGGGTGGGGATTGGGGGCGATGTCACGGAGGTGGGATTCTTTGGGTGCAAAGTCAGTCCAGGGTGCAACATTACACCTTGAACTTAACCAACGCCGCGGGGAGGAGGAGGCAGAGGAGGAGCTGTGAGAAGGTTGGGGCTCACAAAGCCAGGGGATTCGTACTCTCCGGAGATCAGAGGGAGATCTGGAATTGTTTTCAGGTCACCCGCTAATTCCATTGAACACTAAGACACAGGCCAGTCAGTGTTATGAGCGTGCGCGTGTAAACGAGGACAAAGCTAGTGAGTCTGAGCCCGAGGTCACCTCGAGTTCCCCAGACGCCAGGGAGTGCGTCTTCTTCTTCGCGCCGCGCAACCTGAGTCCCGGGCGGCGCTCCTGGAGGAGCCCGGCGGCCTCCAACCCAGCACAGCCGGGTCAGCAGCACTAGGGAATGGAAAGTCTTCCTGGGCCTGCAGCCCTCCAAGCCATCTCTGGGGACAACCTGGTGGCAGACGAGAGCTCACGGAGCCGTGTCGTTAGAGGGCCTTTGATTCCCCTCCCCCGGCTCTCCCCCCCTCAAGATTTCCCTGCGATTGATTTACAATCTGTAACATACAAAGAGGACTGGAATCTTAGCCCTCGGAAACGTGCCCAAACACGTGGGGGGAAAAATCCTCTCTACCTAATACACTTTCCAGGCTTCATTTGTCCTGAATATAATCCCAGACAGTGGGACTTCACTGAAGGAGGCCATGGAAAGGTGCGGTCCGGAAAACGTTTGGACCGAACTGTAACACACACACACACACACACACACGCACACGCACACGCACGCGCGCGCGCCGCCCAGGGCTGGGTGAGTCCCAGAGATATAGAAAAGTAACTCATTGTTGGGGGGGGTGTGGTGTAAGAGACCGCCCGCTGGGAGGGGCGCGATTGCGGGGAGTGGGTCTTTGAAGAGCAGGGTCCTGCTGGAATGCTACCGCTCTTGTGATGCCCACCTTACGGACGACGTAAGGAAGCTTCTGGATCTTTGGTGAGAAGAGAGACCGAGGGAAGCTGAATTGCTAGGGAGGGCTGCACCTTGCTCCAGGCCGGCGGGAGACGGGGCGCAGTGAAAGATCCGAGAGAGGCGCTTAGGTCGTCTAGCGTCCTCCTTTCTTCTTGCGCACCGACGTGGACCCACCGTGTGGCAGCATCCACTTTGTCTAACTCCCTGGAGCGGCCCGGCCACTAGCCTCGGGGCACGACTACGAAGTGCACGAACTCCTGAAAGCCTGCTCTCAGCACCCCCTCCCGTGCGCGCTGCCTCTCCTTAAGACCGATAGGCTACGACTTGTTTTGGTGACTCCAAGTGCCTTAGCTAGGCGCGTTTTGCGCGTGTGCGCTTAATCATCAGAGCTGGAGGAGAAAAGCGCGCTTCAGTCTGTACTGAAAACTTCTCGCACAGGCACTTTGCACATTCAATATTCTTGTACAACGCAGAGACCTGCAAATGCCTCCAACCGCGACCTGCACGAGGACCCACGGAGTGTGCACACACACACACAGACACACGCACGCGCTCGCAGAACGTCACTCCACGCGCCCCCGTGCATCCTGCGGCCAAATCTCCGCGGACATGGTCGGAGGAACCACTCCAACGGGACTCCAGCGGCCGCCAGACGGCGAGCAGGCCGGGGGAGAGGACGCTGGGGGACGCACGGAAGGGAGGCAGGCAGGAGTGGTGGGGCGACTTACGTGCGTCCTGGCCCTGACAGCGAAGGACAGCGGCGATGAGCAGCGTCAGCAGCACCAGCGTTTGGGGAGCCCCGAGGCGGATCATGGCTCACCGCTGGGCCTGGCGGAGCCGGGCCCGGGCAGAGCGCAGCGAGGCGGCTGGAGCACGGCGTGGGTCCGGGTCTTCACCGCTTCCTCATGCAGGAGACCTTCGGAGCGCGAGGAGGAGGCGGGAGACCCGGCAGCCCAGCGGCGCTCTGCGTCTTCTCGCCGCCGCGGCGCCCGTTATATGCGCCCAGCCCTGCTCGAGGCTGGCGAGCTCACCCAAACCGCGGGCCGCCCCCGGACCCCTACCGGGCTGTAACCTGAGACCCCGCCCCCAGAGCCCGCCTGGGCCTTGCCAGTGGCCGCACTTGCCGGGGCTGGACCCCCTCCCCTGCGAGTCCCGCTTCCCGCCTCCCTGTCTCCCCACCCCCCACCCCCCACTCCTGGTGTGCCGAGTGGCCTGATCGGGAGGTGCTCTGGGAGATGGTCCCCCACCCCACTTCCCTGGGCAGTGAGTAGCGGGAAGGGGGGCCTCCGGCCCCTCCCCTCGGAGTTTTGGAGGGGCGGGGGGTGTTTGCAGAGGCTCAGGCCCGGAGCCCTAGACCAAAGATGGAAAGGAGATGTGTGGACAAGAGAGAAAGCAGTGGAGAGGACCCAGTGGGGCACCGTGTGGGGCGCATGGACGGGGGTGGGGTGGGGGTGGGGGGCAGGGGTGCTTCAGTGGTATTCCGAACTCTAAACTTGGAGACTGGGCAAGCAGGGTCAGGTCTGAGGGGTTGCCTGATCTACCTTCTCGCCCATCCCAAAGTACCTGACCCTCCACACACACTGAGCGCCCACCTGGAAGCTCAGAGCGACAGTCCCCAACCCCTCCCCCACCCAGCTATGCCATGAAAGAGTCTCCTCTGGCTAGGAGGTAGACGTCGGCCAGAGCCTCTGGCCAGGAAAGGGGCCGGTGTGTTCGCGCACAGAGGAGACCTGTGTGGAGGTTAGGGGGCGGGGGAGGCCCCGGGAAGGGGGCTGGAGGAGCCACTGAGAGCGGAGGAAGCCAAGACTAAACGGAGTGCATTGCCGGGGTGGGGGACTGTCTAGTTCCAAGCTCAGACGTGGTGTCTGCTCTTTCTGGCCAGGGTCCGGGAGTCCCGGGGGGAGTGGGCATCTCAGGCCAGGGACGGTTGGTCACTGCTGCCGCCCTGGCCGTGGAACAAGGAAGTCGCTCCAGCTGGACTGAACTCTGCGAGCC